CTACACGCTATGAAAAAGGTAAGTGGCATGGAGCCAAAGCCAGAGCCGATGTTAATGCAATTGGTCAAAAAGGCCAGAGTTTCTAGTGAAGGCACTCCAGAACCAAGTGGAAGCATTCCCGTCGCCAGCATTTGTGACAGATGTCCGGCGGTACTTTGAACGCGTAGCAGCCCTTTCGGTTTTTCGAATTTTTTACCAAAACAAATGCAATTTTTTGTTCTTTTCGTTCTTATCGTGAACGATGGGTCCCAAGCCAGTGAATTATGGGTGAGATAGAATCATGACTTTCCCGAGGAGAATTCCTTCAAAGGAAGAGCACGCGAAACGCTGGTAAATCTTTCCTCGTGTAAATGTATTGGCGTCTACCACGGTGGGTGAGACCGGAAGTGCTGTTGTGAGGAAGTCCTTGGAGGCTGCGGAGCCACGTGTAAGTTTCTGGGAAGATCCAACATGAAACCTGTTCACGTTCACGCTTTCAACACGTTTGCACGTGTTGGCTCGCCACCGCAGCAGTTGCAAAAGTTTCCGGGGGGATTCGAACTTTTATAGTCTCCTAATCTATTTGAATTTATATCAAAGCCAGCGCTTAAGTCTCGTACTTCTTGCTATCCTCATAAAGCAAATATTATTAAAATTTCGTGGTTATGGAAGCAGGGCTTCCTTGTGCACGATTCCTTCAACCAGACTGTTGAAAGCTATGTATAAGCCTTTCAAGCCGATATGTTTGATAACCTTGACTTGAAGGCGTATCCCGCGATTGAATAGATATAAGTTACTGCATCCAAAAAGGTAGACACATGAGGAATTTTTGGTCATCGGTAAAGGAGAAATCAAACAAAAAAAAACTGGGAGTCCTTAGAATCACCTGCATGCTAAACGATGGGCGGGATTAGCCCTCGCCTTAGTCAGACAGCCTACAGTATTTTACCTTATCAGTGTAAATGACCATCCATTGAGAGGGTAGGCAAAGACAACGCCATCGGCGCACAATGTGGTTTCGATTTTGCGTTTTTTCTCATGCTCTCAGCAGTTTTGTTCGCTCTTTCTCACTGCAAGTCGACCAAACCGACCCCCGATACTCTCATATTCGTACACATAAATTGCACCTATCCAAGCCTTGAACAGAATCTCGACTTTTGACTTGTTTTTGATTGTTAACTGCTGTTTTTGGCCGCAGTTCGCCTTGCGAATGTTTCAAGGAAAGGAAAGGGCTCATAGAGTACACAATGTTGTTTGTAACGCGATGATTGAGAGGCTCATGGGACTGTGCCGGTCGTACGCATGTGGGCGCAAGTGAAGAAGATTGCGCGATTAATTCTTCGTTTTTCTATCTTTCTAATCGTTGTTGTTTTTTTGTGCATTTCTCGACCTTTTTCTGGCAATTGTTCATCCTAATGAAGCAGTTTGTCGGATTCGAGAAGTTCTTCATCCTCGAATTAGCATTGGGTCGCACTGATAAGGTGTTCTGGCATATGACATACGGAAGCTTATCGGGGTGAAATGAAACCGCGGTTCGCAGTACCATTCAAATTTTTATGGAATTTGCAAAAGAGCTATTCATCATCATCAGGTTCGAAGTTTCTGACCATGCCTATTCGTGTCCACCTTGCATGCTGCTACTTGTTATTCTACCAAGATTCGGCTCTCCCGTCACACCTCTTCGAATTGCCTATGGTAGGCATCGATCATGTTCCGCAATAAGCAATTTAGATGCATGGAAAGTAGCTGACTACCTGTATGTCAAACATTCTTAAAACATCGATTATCATTTCACGAAAATCATCCATGCAATATATTTTGTTCGGTTGAAGCAAAAGCCTTATCTGATTAAGAATGGTAGCGAGATTATTGGCATGCCCTTAAACGTACGCAAGCCCTCCCATTCTCTTTAAGGTATTGCTGGTAATAATATCACAGTCAACGATCAATGATCCAAAAACTCGCAGCTAAAGATGTTTGAAAAAAATTCACGTATAAAATATAATATAATGTCATTTTGCAAAGAACATCAAAATAAATCAAAAATCAAATCGGCTCCAAAATATGCTGACATTGTCTCTTGCTTTTCATGGGAATGATCGCTTTACCTATTAGTAAAAATGATCCGAGTTTTGACTGCACGACGACTCCAAGTTTCTTCGCCGGGTTTTGTTTGGCTTCATGGAATTGCCTGATAATCACAAATTGTTCTTTTCCAGGTGACGATGGAAGAAAAGCAGCTCTTCGGTTCGAAAAAAAGAGAATTTTTGAAGAATTCAACTGAACTACTGTTCAGCAATTTAGATGTGCACCCAAAGGAGCCGAAGTTGCGAAGTCTTCAGTAATTACTGCGAGGGTCCTACTCGGCATGAAACTAGTCCATTTTACAATTCAAAAGCAAGTCAAATATGTATTGAATCCATATTTCGAGACAATAGTCAAGCTCAGCCAACCGCTCTATTTCCCTACCGGAAAGGTCCTGCAAGTGGTTTTTAGGTTAGAGGTCGAATATGCATTTTGTAGAAGGGGGGGGGGGCGGTGGAAGGAATAGAAGGAGATATGTAGAAATTGTGGTTCTACATAGGTGTATGTCGTATACACTTCTCCTCCCCCTCCTCTCGGCGGCGATATTGGAGGACTCCTAAGGGAGGTCGTCAAGTGTGACATCCTCCTTTTGCACAATCTCAGTTCATTCCGTCTTTTGTGAATTCTGGCGGCGGTGCAACGCACGAGAACAGAAGACTTCTAACAGCCGGAAATCAAAAAAAGGGTTTTTATTCGTGGTTTTTGTGACCTAGACTATTTGATTTGTACTCTCGCCCGAATGGCTTCAAATTAGTTTGAAAGCCTTAAGTTACTCTCTGACTCGTAGAGGTGTGTGATGTTTTGATGGCGGAGTAATCTCTCTGCAACTATTCTGTTGACTAGACGACAACCACTTCGTCGAGCAGTTCGACCTTGATCTCTCTCCCTGTCTGTCATGAATTTCAATGGGTTCCGGACAATAAGTGAAGTGAGTAAATTGGTCGTAACGGCACAACGAAAATGTCTGCCTCAGTGAACATCCGTTTCAGTGCACATGCCAATCAATATCTACACTGAGTAATACTCGCCCAAAATCATGAAAAATTTTACGAGTCAACGTACCCGACGGTTGTAGTAGCTGTAAACCTGTTTCGTGCTCAACTCATCGCAGAACGTACCCGAATACGGCTCCTCGCACTCACACTTCGTCTCTGAATTGTGTTCAACGATTACTCAAACATCGTTTATACAAAACGCATTTCGGGTGAAAGAAGCGAATTGATGTTAGCTGATCTTCAGGGGAATCTTGTAGCATAATTGGACCTTTCCCCGAGAGCTTGACTCACAGCCTGTACCGATGATATTTACATATTACAGCATTATAAAAACAGTGTGGAGCTACGTGAGCTGGTATTATAACGGAGTAACAGGGAAACTGTAGAACCAGTTCAGGAAGACTAAAAAAAGGAACTTGCTTTCGATTGTTGACTGCTATTTTTGGCTGCCTATTACCATGCAAATGTACATAAATGTAGGAATAATGGACTGTAAGCAAAAGTGTAGTGATGAATTGTTGTGTTGTGTCCTACAACTAAGCGTTCGTTATAACTTTGGCATGACGAATGATCTTGTTAAGAGAATGGGTATCTGTACTGGTATCTTGAATTCTCCTGTCTTTTTGAATTTTTTGAGCCAAAATGATTCTAGACATTTCAAGGATAGGTTCTCAAACAATCTTCAAGAGGTTTTTCAACGGAAAATAATGCTTGGAAACTGTCGTAGCAAACATATTTGAAGGCTACTGTAGTTTTGCTTACTCGAAAATGCTGAAAGAGGTACAGCCAGTGAAGGGAAGCTATCGAGGTCTTCAAAAACACTGAAGATAAGGAACTATCTCCTTAGGTGGAGGACGAGCTGGAACAAAGAGAAACTGATGCTTAGGTAAGAGAACAGAAAAGGCCGAGAGGCGACTGATACGCAAACACTCCTGCTGTGTAGTACGATTATTGCATCACGGCCAAAAATTTAGGCATAAACCCTTGGGCCTTGCTCGCCCACTTCTGAATATCGAGGAGGCACGCATTTCACTTTTGTCATACATAGTGTGATTTCACGGTTCTATGCTGTTCATGGATGATGAAAACCATGAGAAACTGCACAGAACTCTAGGAATGGGACCCCTTCCCCCGTTGATTCCCGGATTGACGCGACTCTCATAGTTCCTTCACAAGAATGCTAGGTTGGAAACAAAACTTTCGGCCCGTCTGAGGCGAACGTTTCTTCACAACCTAGCATCTTATGAAACATTCGCAAACAGCAGTTCAATCGAAAACAAGTCAAAATCTTATGGGTGCTGCCTTATTCAACTCTAACGCTTTCTCTGCTAAGCGGCTATAGTCGGACGGCGAAGAGCTATCTATCGGCGGGCGTGAAGAGGCGTGAGCAGCGCGGGTACGGTCCCGCAAGAGCGCCGAGGCATACTCTTTGCTGCGAAACGCGCATCGTCCGCCGCTCTGCAGGCTACGAGATAGCTTGGGCTTTATGAGAACTTAGAAAGAGACGAGAAAGCTATGAAAGTTTATAAAAAAATTGAGAAAGCAAAAAATGGGGCAAACTAACCAAGGTTGCTTGGCTCTCCATGAACGCAATGGATTTCCTCGCAGAACTCACCATAGTATCCTGGAGCACACGCTGGACACCTAAATACGTGTTCGATCAAGAGTCTGAAACTCTATCCAAACCAAAGAGCTGGAGGCCCATCCAGAAGTATCCATAAATGGTTTGCAATCTTCGGCTTTCAGGGTTCTTGCTGCGTTCAGAATTGATTCAAGACCTTTGATTAGGCACACTCATCGGTGCTGCCACCGCCTATGGTAGATTCAATGATAGGGGGCAAACGTCCATATAGGGCTGCTTCGCGGCTTCAAAGTGCGCGCCAAGAAGCGGAAGGTTTCCAATCCGCCACGTGCTCCTTTTTCGCGAGCCCCGCTATCCGTGCACAACGTCGACGGCACTAGCGCCATGAGAGCAAGCTATTTCGAGAAACTGACCCTCAACGTGCGCGCATACCGTAACGGTAAGTTTTGTGTACAAGGCTGGTGAGAGGGAGGTTCACGTTTACAAGCTTCTCAACAGTCTTTCGTTCACTTTACGAGCAGCTTGCACTCACATGTTCGTATTTGAGTAGGATAATTCCCAATCAGGGTCAACCGTCACGTTCACATTTTTTCGGAATTTTGCGACCCTTCCCGTTAGGGGTCTCGATGCGAATCCCCTCCTCCCCACCAGCAACAATCTTAGAGAGCTCCCCCAATATGTGATATCCTCTTTCTCCCTTGCCCGAGCAGCACCCTCACCATCATCGATGTTTCATTCTGAGAACAGTCGGCACAACCCACCCAACTCCGCCCACTTTCTCCTCACCCATCGTCGAGCGGGGAGTGGAGGGGTGTAAATTGGTATCATGAAGCGGCAAATCACCAATTTTGCCTAATTCTCACTACTTTCGTAAAACTTTCACCAAATTCGTCAAAAAACCCGTCCAAACACAACCCCTTCAGCAAATTTACCAACCTCTCTTCCCCTATGGTAATCTTGCTCAACCCCAAAATGCGACCCCCTCGTTCGAGCAGTGCGAACAGACTATTGAAGCGGCCCCTATTCTGGGCGGAAGTGGTGTAGTGACAAGTGGCGACGCTTACCACGCGAGCGGTCCGGGGATCAAATCCTGGGTCGTGAGTCGCCCGGGCCAACCAAGCCTTCCATCCCTCCGGGGTCGGTTAATTGGTACCAGACTTGTCTGGGAGGATAAAAACACTGACTTGTACATCGGCTGGCCCCGCAAGTCATTGTATAGGCCACATCGCATTCAAACGCCACTACGAATGTACAAATGGAAGTAGAATGCGTGCCGCATCCCAAAAAGGGATTGATCAACGGCAAATGCTTTATCCTTTATCCTCTAACCCCAATTCTTGAATCGCGAGTCTTACCCTTTATGTGATCAATTTTGATGACAACATTCGATTCTTTGCCCAAGGTCAACATCGTCAATGTTAAATTAGACGACTTATCTCGGGAAACATTCAGCACTGATCCATGATGCGCCAAAAATGCCCTCTTATGAATGCTTCATTCATGATAAGGCTATTAATCAAGGATTTCTGTCACAGCTGGTCAGTGGTGTTCTCTCATCCCGCTCAACATCGTTGTCTACATAAGAAAAGTTTGCAACTCTCTCCCGAAATGTTTTCTGTACTGCAGAATCATCAGTTCGGTTATGGTAAGCAATTGGCATGGAATAAAAAAAATCCAAACATGGTTCAACTAATTTTGATATCGTCGAGAAATGTTGGATTTTTCTGGGAAGATGTTGTAATAGTGCATTTTCTCGCAGAAGGTGAATCACTATAAAAAAACAAAATGAAACAGTTACGAACTTGTCAAGGTTCCAAGATGAGAAGACTTCAAATCTCCTCCAAAGGAAATTGGCTGAACTGTTTTGAAAAATATTGAGGGGAGGGGGACCAAGAACTGATTCTGGTTCCATTTCGCACGCACCCTTCGGCGGAAGTCAAGTACATATATATGATGATATTTCGTCCTATTTTGTAGGAAAGGAGAAGAGAATATAGAGACTAAAACAAATATTTTGATCAAAAAGGTCAAAGCATTCGGCGCTCATTAACCCTTTTCTGGGGCACGTCACGCATTCTATAATATTAGGTTGTCAGAGAAGTCTTTGGCCATTACCATCTGTATGTTGCAAAATCTCTAGAATTGTTGCGAAAGTTTGCTGTAAAAGGTATGTGGATGATGGCCAATGGTCTCTTCGAAGTCTTTTTGCCATAGCATTGCGCAGCGATTATAGCTGAAAAATCTGACGGGAAGTGCGTTTGGCTGTTCTTGCTTTTACAAATTCAGAAAGACTGTCAATGGAAGCGATGCGGCAAGAAGCCTACGTGTTGCCATGGACCTTACGACTGCGTCGATGCCCACGAATCGAAAAAAAAACGCAAATCTGATTGACTTGCTGATGTAAATGACGACGGGTTTCTGAAGCTGTTTGGGAATGATCTAAGGTGCGCTGGAAAATTGGAAGAGCTTTTCCAGTGCTGTCAGACCACACTAGCCGTTCGTTGATACCTTTTGGGGTCTGACCGACTACCAGATTCCGAAGAAACTCCGCAAAAACATCTTGTTCTACCGACTGTCTCCCATTTGACTTGAGAACTTTGTTGGTGGTAATAGGGAGTGGGACCTTCACAGAGATTCTAAGCCAAAGCACCACTGGCTCAATTGCGTACAACAAGGATTCCAAAGCGGATTCCCGCACTGCAACCTGAGGGTGACCTTCAGAGCTCACGAAGGTGCAAATTTCCGTTTACGGAGTCCTGCTACCAACGAACCCCATTGCTATTGGTAAAAATTTGAATAATTTGAGCAAATGGAGAGAATCGCCGGCACTATGCTTGGAAACGAAGAAGGTGCAGCAAAAGTGCAAGCTTCTTGTGGAAAGTTTTGACCCCCCCCTGTTGCGTTCAACAGAATTGGCATCAACGGGCTACCACCTGCTTCTGCTGCTGACGAACTAACTCTAGGAGGGAAAGTCAATGATCCAGAAAATCTTGCAAAGGACTTCTCAAAGTTTTCGCCTCGAAACTCAGAATTTTCAATACAGATGACGTGCACATATGGTGACTTCAATTGCGTGGCATATGTTTCTTGATTGCCCGGTGTGATACATTAGAAAAATTAATACAAAAAAAAAACAAAAAAATGGCTAGAGACCCTTCCGACAACAACCTGGATTGTCCCCAGTTCTGTACCACTCAAATGCACATTAACTGAGATATGTATGTAGCTCTGTTTTATCCTTTCAACAAGTTTGGTGCCAACCGGACCCCTGGAATGGAATGCCTGGAATGACGTGGATGGAGTGCGATCAAAGATTTGATCCATGGATCATGCGTGGATAAACTGCCCCTCTTGCCATTACACCGCTTCCGCCCAAGATGTTACGATAATGCACAAAAATCTCTAAGTGAGTCAGATCAAGCAAGAGAATTGGGAAAAGGCGAGTTATTCCTCATTAATTACTTCTGAGCTCAAATTACTTATGTTCAGATGCTCGAGGACGCGTCATGCACATGATGTCAACTATGACATTTCGCACAGCAATTGCTAGGTCATAAATCGGTGCATATGATTAATGCCTGCTAAGGCTACCGGTGCACTATTGATGGCATCTAATGAAATGCCCTGTTGACATGTGAAGAAATAGATCCATGTTTCAAAGAAGAAAAACTGCACTCACGAGCCATTCCGGTACCGTCGAAATGAAGCGCAGTGCTTTCGCTTTTCGCAATGTCGGCCTGTGTATTCCTCCTCACATTCGCACTCACCATCTACTGGCTTCCCGTGAACGCATCTAAATCGAAACGATTTTTTAGATCCTTGACGGCCTTACTGGGGTGAAATACCCGAAAATCATTCGTACACTGGCTGTCTTCGGCGTTGAAATGCTGATCGAATGCGATGCCGGTGATGTCGATGCGGATCATCAGACTGTTCTTCTCGTGCATGCACTACTATAGAAATTAATACTAGTAAAGGAATAAAGAAAACCGTTGATGACGTAAAGCTCATAAATTATAGTTTGTCGAACACCTGAAAGTAGGTTCTGGTTACGGATCAGGAGCCTTGGGACTTAAGCTCGACCACACATCGTTGAAAGCAGCTGTTGAAAGCAGCAAAGAACTTTGGAGCAGGAAAAACGAACATGATATCAATGGTTAACAATAATACCAATTTCTGGATACGGTAAGATATTTCTTCAGAATCGGAATAAGTTATACCTAAGCTCCGAGAAGGTTTTGATATGCAGAGCTTAAAAGTGTGCTACTCAAAGAGGAATTAGACTTATGCCGTTTAGCCGCAATTTTAACACCAGCACAATAAGATAGATAGATTCAAAGATCAGCAATACTGAAGAGGGAGGGCCCGATACTCAGTCAGCAAATCAAATCACAGCAGACAGGTAAACCAGTTTCGGAGGAAATGTTTGCCGTCATGATGTACTAGAGGGAACAATTACTGGCTTGGTCATTGAAAACTATTCTGGGAGGGAGTTCCCATGTTTATTTGATCGATTGTGACCGAAGGGTACTTTCAATTAAAGAACAGTTTTTGTACATCATACCCATCCACTTTTTGGGAAGAGAATTGGCCAGTGGAAGTTGTTTTAGGAAACCAAGATAGCGAAACCAAGAATTTGAACACACTTCGTCGGTCAAAAGTTAGAAGTCTCAAAGGCAGATGGTACGATAATTTGCTTGCCATTGAAAGAAGTCGAAGTAGAGACGGCAGTGGTGAAGTATTTTAGGGAGTTGGCCTAAGAAGGGATAGGGCCTTTCTGCAGACCGATTTCTGCACTTGACGAAATTCTACAACGAATGACGCCACAAATGTGAACGTCTGCCTTTCCACACTCTCTCTCGCAGCGACAATCCTTCACCACGAACCAATTAAAGGCACGAGTCGGGATTGAATTGATGCGTTATTTTGTTCAAACATTAGGCAAGGGGTGCAATGAGGAACATTAGTGAGGAGAAAAAGCAAAAAGCACCATAGAAAACACTAAATTTCCCTTAGGAGGCCGGCCGTAGTACGAC